CCCCCCCCCCCCTCGGCCCCCCGTAATGTCGAATATTCCGATTGTGGTATGCTATAGTATATGGGGAATATTTAACATGAGGGGGCGTGGGGGATTTAATGTTCGGGAGAGGGGATTAGGAATAGTTCTGACATGTTCTGACGCTTCCCAGCAGCCAATAGCGTTTCAGGCTCCCTTGGTTCAGGGACCGCTGAGCGCCTGAGGCTCTTAAACCATGGGGAGTGCAACCCTGATTTCGGGTTTAGGGTTTGAGGATTGGGGCTTAAGCTTTAGGATTTGGGGATTAAGTTTTGGGCTTGAGGGCTTCACTGAGCTCAGGGATTTTGAGTATAGGCTTCTGGATGCGCCGGTCAACCGCAGATCCTGACATCGTCAAACAGAGAGATTTTTCGGAGATGCCCGCAGCACGACTACTACGATGTAGCTTCTCACTATTACCCTCTTCTGTGTACATGGCTTGTTAGAAAAGCCTGCTCATCATCACCAGGCGTGTTCTTGCTCTTTGCCCTGGAAAATCACTAGTTGTGATACACTTTTGCGTTTTCACTGTGGGAATTCAGCATGTTCACTCTCAGCAGTCCCAAAATGCATGCTGTTTGACTATCTTCAGTAGTACTCCTTTCTTCCTGCTCTTCAAACAATGCCTCCACCATGTGATAACTGCGCTTAGTACTGCAAGGCGCCTCAAGCTTTGTGCCGCCACCGTCGCCTTAGAAGAGCTGTGGCAGTCGTGCGGCTCAGGGCGCAGGGTATGAGGGGTCTAAGGATGGAGATTATATAGGGGTTTAGGGTCTCACTGGGGTAGTATTAGGGTCATATTGAGATGATGGAAAAGAAAATGGAAACTACTATATTACATTAGGGTTATATGAGCCATCATCTAGGTTCAGGATTTGGGCGATCGTGGTTTGTCGCTCTTTGATATCCGAAAGGCTTCGTACAGTCGCGGACAATTGTGCGGGTTGTTCCGTCTCTTGCGCAGGAAAGCAGCTGACGTGCCCTTCAAGGACTGAGGCTAAGAGTCCGAGTTTGACTTTTCGGAACCTACCAGTGAGGACGACAAGAATGCCTTGACACAGCTGGCTCCGCACTCGGAAGCTCAGCGGCTTCCATCTCTTTAACACAACTCAAACCGCTGAAGCGTTTTGGTCCGGAATGACGGCTTTAGTGGCAGAAAGCTTCAGAACCATACAGCGAAGGCATGCGTTCAAACCCCCCAACTTAAGCACGGTAAGCATGCTGGAAAAGCCACCGCTTAAAAGACATCCTCAACCTGAACCCTGTGCAGCAAACCCGAAATCCTGTCTGTGAGCCTAAGCCCTGCAAGACTGTCCCCAAGCTTGTGGTTTGGGATTTGGGGTTCAGGGTTTAGGGATCAAACTCTTCACTTCCATGCTATGCGGCGTGGGAAAGCCGGAGGAGGAGCAAATAGAGCAGCATGGCCTCAGGGCTTTAGGGTTTAGGGTTTAGGGTTTAGAGTTTAGGGTTTAGGGTTTAGGGTTTAGGGTGGGGGAACTGCGTGGTGGCTTTCGGGGATACAAGGAGGCTGCGAAAGGATTGCAAGGCAGTGTCTCCAAACCGTGAACCCCTAAACCCTAAACCCTCAACTCCTAAACCCTAAACTGGTAGATTAATTGACTCACTACGCATGTCTTCAGACTCTTCACATCTGGCATCCATCACTGGCCTTGAGTGCAAAGAGCAGGCTGAAACGTGGCCAGTGAGCTCGACACCAAAGGGGCTGCAACCACATCAGGTGCGACATATGCGATTATAACTATTTACTCGTTCAATCACTTGTTTACTCAATTGTTCATCGATTTGCCTCTTTTGTTGTGTCATGTATTTATCTCAAATGAAGGTCTAGCACGGGCACCTTCCAACGAAAATGCTGGCATCTAGCCTTTCATCAAGAAGAACGCCCGAATTTGTAAACTGGAACCTATAGCAAACTCCTACGGTCCTACAGAATCTCAAGCACCACCATAGCCAAAAACTATCAATGATATGATACGAAGAACCTCAAATCGAAAGAATGAAATCATCATTCAAGAGACACGCACATACATCCTGGACAACAAATCTGCACAACGCGAATTCTTCTTCCATGGAATTGGAGTTGACAGCCATCAGCAATGAGGCCATTGAATCAGCCACAAGTACTGAACCCACTCCCAACCTGGAGACTGCCTAGGTTCTTTCAACGAAGACCTGTCTCATCCTACATAAGGCTTTGGTATTCCTTCACATGTAGAACTCTTCGGCAGGATTCAGATCAAGCCAGCAGGTCAGAGCCATGTCTATGCGACTCCTACACAGATTGCCGATGGAGACGTCCTCTTTTCACTACTGCAACGATTAAAGGCTGCTGCCTGAGCAGAAGCGCATCTTTCCGAATAGGGGTTGAAGTAGCAGCCCTTTCCGGACCAGCTTCCAAAAGATAAAGAGCCTTATGCTCGCTGGCCTGAAGAGATGTGCTTTACAAGCAGAGAGCAAAGGCTCTGAGCCCTGAGGCTCTGGCTGTACAATCATGTCTGAAAGCGTGTCGAGCTTCCAGCTGTACGTGTAATCCGCCCCTAAACTGAGCTCAAAAGTGTGTAACTCCGGGTTCTTACCTGCAGGGACAGCAGCCTCCACCGCCTCCGCCACCATGCCAGCCGCCGCCATGCCAGCCGCCGCCATGCCATCGGGGTCCGGATCGGCAGACGATGCCACCCCTGCACTCTCGGTGCCCATGGTGAAACCACCAGCCACCACGGCAGTAGGAGCCGTAGCCTCAGCTGTTCATGCAAGCCTCCTGCGAACGCACTTTCTTTTCCACTTTCCAGAAGCTGACAACTGAACAATGCTGGCAGGGTAGAAGCCTCATCCTGTGTTATCATCCCTGCTTACCTATCAGGGGAGGGCTGGAGACTTACTGGGCGAAGAATCATGAATTCAGAACTCTGAACTGCAAAATGTCATACAGCAAGGGTGCAGTACCCAGCTTGCGAGACAGTCCAAGTAGTTCGGCGTGCAGACACAGCAGAACTGATGCGGAGAAAGATGTTGTACATCACGGCTTCAATTGGGATGTATCAAAAGGATTGAGCAGACCCCTGTCCTGCACATTGCTGCGACAACACCACACATCCTAAGAAAACCGTGAGTGGCTTGCAATGCCCTGCATAGCATTGGCAGGTAACGGCAAGCCATAAGCTCAGTCTCATTGCTTGCGCCCCCAGTCTGCATGGTCGTGTAATTGGTTGGCCTTGGTCAGCAACACTTCAAGACCAACTAACTAACAGCTTGGGAACTTCTGAAATTGTATGCAGGGTTTGGTTCTGCAGAACAAAGTGAGCATGACCTGCCTACCAATTGAACTCCCAAAATTTCCAAGAGCATTGAGTTCCAAGGCTTACTTACCGCAAGGGGGACTGCAGTGCCACTTTCATGGTTCAAGGTAGCGTATCAAGTAACCACACAACAGGGGGCCAACTATCGCATGGCCGGTCTTCAAGCATCATCTAAATCGTGAGCACATACTTTTTGGCTGTGTGCCTTGAAGTTCTCACCAGAGTCCTTGCAGGCAAGCACGCAAGTCCTCAATAATTCCACCCAGAGGATCCATAGCTAACGGTCTTGTACCTTCACACCACTTTTTGCCCAGCAAATCCAGACAAAAACGACATGAACGTGCTGGCTGCAGAAAATGCAATCGCAGCAAGTCGTGCGCGAAAGTTGCGGAATGTGTGCAACACGTTCTTTTTTGGACTTCTCACACGACCCATAACTAGCGGCTAAGGTAGCTTCTACGTTTTTCTCACGTAATTTTGTTAAGAAAGAAAGCTCTCCGAACCAATATGAACATCTTGATGTTTGAAACGAGATGGCTACCAGCCGTGCGCGAAAGCTGAGAAGCGAGCGTCCACTGAAAGTACCAGCCCAATGCAAGCAAACCATGTGGGGGTTCTCAGCATGGGCTACCCATGAGGACCCCAGGGATACAGAGATTATCAAGGGTACTCCCCTTTGGCCTTACGCGAACCCAGATACTACCCAGAGCAGGAGAATTTTTTCAAGCATTGCAGAAGCTAGTTCAAGACACCCCAAACTGCAAACCCTAAACCCCAAACCCTAAACTCAAGCAGGTTTGCAGGGTAGACAAACTCAAACCCCTTTCAAAGGCTGCAATAGCTGGCCCTAAACCCTGCAAACCCTGGGGCTGGATGCCAGGTAAGCGGCACTGCACTGACTGCTTCTGCTGCACTTTGACCTCCGGCATTTGTGTCCGTATCCAGCTTGTCCTTGGTTTTACCGGACTCATGAACTGGGAGGGGCTTGAGGCGTACCTTTCCTTCGGGCGATCCCACTGCTCAAGTCTGTTAGGGCTGTGGCTGTCAGGGAAGATAGCTAAAACTGAGTCAACCCAGACATCAAACCCAGACATTTGAGGACTGAAGGCTCCAATTGGTGCATTCTCGAGAGTCTTAAAAGAGGCATTGCTGGCAGGAGTCGCAGTTCAACCGCAACAAAACACGCTCCAACGGTGTTACATATACCAACCAAGCATCCAGGTAGTATGGGCCGCGGCGGCACACAACACCTCCTCGGCACTCTCGCCGGCCATCATACCACCACCAACCACCGCGGCAGTAGCTCCCGTACCTGGAATAACGCTAAACCCCGCACAAGGCATAAGGACACACTTTCCTATTCATGGCCCAGGTACCGGCAGACAAGCAGGTTCCCGACCTCTGCAAGCACCATGAATTGGAAACTTCTCTCGGACGCTCGTCTGCGGGTCCCGCGATAAGGATCTTGTGTGGGGGGGGGCCTACATGGGAAACTTAAGAACTCCCATGCGTCAAGATGCGTACGTTTAGCGGATTCATCGTTTTGCCACAGGACTTTGCACAGCCCAACACCTCCGGCCCCTAAACCTGCCAAAACCCTCCTGATGTCTTGAGGAACTGGTAGGTCAGAAACTGTTTGGCCCTCCTCGCTGGGTCCTAAATCCTGAAAATGGCACTCATCATGGGAGCCCTGAAGCCTCAGAACTATGACAGCCATACCGAGATGCCGCAACTGTGGTGTTGGCGGCATCCATCATCTGCACATAACCTTGGCTGCTCACTGCCCTGGCTTCATCAGTTAGCCATGACACGAGGCCTCAACCCATGCCAGGACTGCACGACACCTCCCATAACCCCTAGGTCCCTTCAAGGGGGCACAGGCCCCTCCAATTTTTCATGGATCCAGGATCAGAACCCTAAATCCCATATAACCCTACATGGATAAGTGTTGGATTTGAGGGGTGCGCTGCACAAACTAACCCTCATATATAATTACAATTAATATTAATAGTAATACTTTTAATATGAGCTATAAAATAATTACTATTACTTCCACCAAGAAACTCTCGGCCCTGTGATCGTCGGCAGGAAGGCGCTCCGAGCTACACCTTGTCTCAAACACAGGGTGTAGGGTTTAGGGTTTAGGGTTTAGGGTTACTTGAAGGTTCATGGGAAATAGTAACTACTCATAACTGGGCTTATAACCCTACTTATAACCCCCCTTAATGGCCTTATAGGGTTTACCCCAATTATAAGTAGGGTTGTAGCCCCAGTTATAAATAGTTACTAAGTCCCATGAACCTCCAAGTAGGTTTGGGGTTTAGGGCTTCGGGTTTAAGGTATAGGGATTATGCACAGGGAGGGACTTTATAACGATAATGGATGGAAAATGAAACTATTACATCATGACATAGTATATCCTGCAAAGTACTTCCGAACAACAGCAGCTGATCCAGTGTACGCTCGGCCCGCAAATTTGTGTGAATGCCTGAGGTTGCTGTGCTGTACTGGCGCACGGAGAAGCAGGTCGGGAGTCAAAACCTGAAGAGTAGGCTGGGGGGAATGTGATGTGCATTTTATAGAAAAAAAACTACTTGAAGCAGGACGTAAACGAACAGACGCTTCAAAAACCCTGCCTCAGATGCCTCTGAAGGCTGCTGAGGCACACCAGACTGCCATTGCATATGGGTGGTGTGCCATTCACTGTAGCACCCTCACCGTGGCAAAGCCTCGGCTCACGTTTGGTGTTTCCTGTCCAATGTTAGGAATATTGCTAATGGTCTCTGCACTGTACGCTTCTACATATGGCGCTTACCATAAGTTCCACAACAATCATTCTTGCGATTCGTTGTAAGTCTACCTACTTTGACTGCCATGGATGTTGATTTCGTGAGCAATGATAGGACCTCGTCCATAGGGATAGGTTCGCCCCGTAGGCAACGAGAGCTTGTTAGGCTCCCCATCGGCCCCTTACCTTGGCGAACTACTTGTAGGGTTTAGGGTTTAGGGTTTAGGGGATCAGCCCACAACTACTTTTGATGGGCATGCTACCTGGAAATCTTCTTATATTGCCTTTGCTTTCAAACATGATGATATAGCCGGCATATTGCTGCTTCTTACAGCTGGCACGAGGCGAAACATCCGCTGCCCGGCCCTATCTTTAAACGTTCGCGGAATGAAGCCATGCTTCCAACCTGTTCCTGGCAAGACTGTTTTCGGCTTGTGTTTCATTTCACATACGCGCATTTGCAACCTCTTTGCTAGTCACAAGGCGAAACCCCTATATAATTCGCCGAGGCATCCAGCCTCAAGGCGTTCAGATCCCTTTAAAA